AGTAATATACAAAATCAAAACTATACTGAGCGGAGAGCCTTAAACAGAAAGTTGAGCCCAGCTCAAAAACAGCGTAGCCCACGACAGGGGGGAAAAGTCGACCCTAGCCCAAAATCTTAGTGTGGCCATGGCCTTAGCTTGGTCCATGTAAAATCCAAAAGCCAAGCGAACCACCCAGCCCAAAATTATGGAGTGGTCCTGGCCCGGTTTAGATTCGCGCCAAGGCTAAAAGAGAGTCCCCGCTTGGAGGAGCCCAAAATATCTCTGTCTCCTCTTTTTCCCTCCCTGCACCGTAGACTCCGTTTTCTGTTTCACTCCAAACAACGTAACACCATATTTATATATATATATATCCGCCGGTGACTTTCCGATTTCTCGCCGTCGAAGGCACAATTCAGTCTCAGTCGCAGATGTAATTTCTCTCCCTCGTTTATTTCATCATCTTCTTGATTTTCTTTGTGTTTGATTTTCTCCATTAAATAGGAATTTCTAGGGTTTCCTTTCTGTATTTTTACGCCGTGATCTTGCTTGTCTTGATATTTCGATACGTCAATAAAGATGTCTACTCCATTAATTTCGGTAGAGATTAATCATCATTATGTTTCTGCCTATGTATCGTGTTTATTTTATGCTCCAACTGTGTACTATGCTTTGTGGAAGAAATTTCTGAGCTCAGGTTCTTGGTTTTGATTGTTATGTTAGCTGTGTGTTCAGATATCGTCCTTGGATTAATTGCAACCGAGCATTGTATGGGAGGAGTGACGTTCAGCTTCTTTCTATAAGGAAAAATTGGATGAAAATTTGTGATTTTTCCATAACAAATTTCATTACTTGTGTTCACAGCATAGTGGGTCGGTGATAAAATGAGCCGACCAACCACCCGTAACAAAAACAAAAGACGCAAGCCGGTGGATGATGCAGATGCTACTTCTGAAATATTTAGGTACAGGCTTCTTTCATTTTTAAGGTTTCTATGCCTTTAGTTTTTATGCTTGCTGATTTGGTGCCTTTTTTTTTTTTTTCAATTTGTAGGAAAATCCATACAACAGGTAAAGTAACTGATGATGACATCAATCAGCTCTACATGATATGCAAACCAGTTTGTCAAGGCTGTCGCGTCAACACTAAGGATAACCCTAATTGCTTTTGTGGTTTGATTCCACCGCCCAATGGAAGCAGGAAAAATGGCTTGTGGCAGAAGATGTCAGAGATCATCCAAGCTCTAGGGCCAGACCCATCTAAGGATCTCCGTGCTTCTGCATCTTCCCCTGCAGGTCTCACAAATCTTGGTGCGACATGCTATGCCAACAGCATACTCCAGTGTTTGTACATGAATAAATTGTTCCGAGAAGGTCTTTTTTGTGTTGAAGAAGGGGTTCTAAAACAACATGCTGTTTTGGATCAACTTGCACGGCTCTTTGCACAATTGCATGCCAGTAAAATGGCATTCATTGATCCAGCTCCGTTTATAAAGACACTTGAGTTGGATAATGGAGTTCAACAGGATAGCCATGAGTTTCTAACCTTGCTGCTTTCTTTACTTGAGCGTTGCTTGAGCCATTCTAAAGTTTCCAAGGCAAGAACAATTGTTCAAGATCTTTTCCGTGGTAGTGTGTCGCATGTGACAACGTAAGATGCTAAGATTAGATTTTCACTCTTTTTTTTTTTTTTTTTTATGTTTTTCTTTTATTCTTGCTTATCTTTTTTTTCCTTTTTCTGGCATTATTGTTTATTTTCTTCAATTTCCTTTAGTTAATATTTTTTGGTTTCCATTTGTACTTATAAACTTCTGGTTACTTTTGTGAATATAAGCAAATATAGTTTTTACATTAAAAAAAATTTAATTCTAGACTTGCACTTTTCTTTGACATATGTAGGTGCTCAAAATGTGGCAAAGATTCTGAAGCTTCTTTGAAGATGGAGGACTTTTATGAGCTTGAGTTGAATGTCAAGGGCCTGAAAACTTTAGATGAGAGTTTAAATGAGTACCTTAGTATTGAAGAACTTGATGGTGATAATCAATACTTCTGCGAGTCATGCAGCATGAGAGTTAATGCCACTCGAAGCATCAAGCTTCGTTCGCTGCCTGATGTGCTTAATTTGCAGCTTAAGCGCTATGTTTTCCTTCCAAAGGTATTTTATGATGGATTTGGATGCCATCTTATTGTTAATAACTTCTCCAGCTAAGGGAAATGTAATCCTATTTCTTCTGGTTCCTTTGTATGGTGGACATATTGCTTCATGCTTTATGGGGCTTGAAGTAATTTTGTTTAACCATCATCAATTGGTAAGTGCAAAGATTGGTGGCGTAGTTGCGTGGAAAGCCAATGTTTGCTTAGTGACTTTAAACACTAGTGATAAGCCATTGAAAAGTGTCCTAATTTTCTCTGTAAATCGTGCTTGCTAATATTTTTATCATTTGATCGATTAGATTTTTCTAGATATAGCCAAAAGTGTAGCCCAATTGGATCTTTTGTAAGCATTCCCGCTTCCCCCTCTTTCTCTCATTCTTCCAGTTATGATTTCAAATCTTCATTTTGTTTCATGGTGTCTTAAATGTAGTTCTTGTTGTCCACAGAAATAAATCAACAATTATCTGCACAGTAAGCATTAATGTTTAGCATAGGAATTTCCTTAGGAGCATGTAATGGTTCACCATGTAGAGCTGTAACATTCTGAGGTGTGAGTGGCTTGTCCATACTAATAAAGTACTTGATGGTTTTAGTAGTTGAGAAATGTTTTTAGCCTTCATATTTCATTCTTTTGTTTGTCAAGATTTGTTGTATCTGTCAATTTAAAAACTTTTTCTGGCTTTTATTGCTTCTTGTCTAAGCATGTTTAGTGCAAAACTAGCTTCCTTGTTTCAGGTATGACATTTTCTTTCCCTTTTTTTTTCTGTGTTTTCATGTGTTAGTAGACTACTGCAAAGAAGAAAATATCTTCAGCTTTCGCTTTCCCTGGAGAGCTAAATATGCATGGGAGACTATCTGAAACATCTCAAGTGGATTTAGCATATGACTTGTCGGCTGTATTGATTCACAAAGGAAGTGCTGCAAACAGTGGCCACTACATAGCTCATATTAAGGATGAGAATACAGGGCAGTGGTGGGAATTTGATGACGAGCATGTCTCGAACTTGGGTTATCATCCTTTTGGGGAAGGCCTTTCAACTTCCACTAAGGCTACTCGAACTGAGTCAGTTTATACACCTTGTGGAGAAGGAATGGATGCCTCTGCCAATGGAAATCATTTTGAGACCATTCAACTACAACATGCAGGACCTAGTATGAATCATGTAGACATATTTTCATCCACTGATGCATACATGTTAATGTATACCCGCAGGCATGGTAACAAGGATGTTAAAAGAGTATCTGGGTCAGATGGTCCTACCAATATGAAAATAGAAGGAGATGCATTTTTCTTGCAAGATGGTATTTCTCTTCCATCTCATCTTTCTGAAGAGATAAAGAACTTGAATGCATCTTATGTTGTTGCTTGTGAAGAATTCAAATTAAAGAAGGATAGAGAATTAGATCATATAACAACAAGAAGACAGGAAGTGAGGTCAGTTCTTTCTGAAGCCCCTGTTCAATCAGTTGAAGAACCATTTTATTGGATATCTACGGACTGGCTTCGCTTATGGGCGGATAACGTTAATCCACCGTAAGTATTGTTCTATTTGCCATTTGAAGCTTTGATTTTCCTTTTTCTTTTATTTATTATTTTATTTTATTTTATTTTGTGATATTAGCCAATTACCTTTGTGATGACTGGAGTCTGCATTCATGATGATATTTTTTCTTTCATAACTAAAATTTTTTGGTGGTGTTCTATGACAACTAGTGCTTGCAGTTTTACTATTTCTTCTGCTTTCAAAGATGATAATTTTCTTTCAATATTCTGCAGAGTTTTAGACAATACACCCATCCAGTGCTCGCATGGGAAAGTTCCAGTTTCCAAGGTGGGCTGTATGAAACGCTTGTCAACCGTATCCTGGATCAAGTTGTTCAGTAAGGTATGTGCATCCATTTGGTCCTTTTTTTTTCTTTTTTTTAATGATGTTCATTTAGCCTGACTTGTATTAATTATCACATTAACCATCTCCAATTACAATTAGGTAGTCTCTTTTCGTAGTCAATTGTGTTAGGATATGCCATAATATATTCTAGGATTGGTTTAACTTGGTACAATAACCTGATTCCATGCTAATTCAAACTGAAGTTGGAAATAATTCGGAATCTCTCATAATAAGGTAATGCATTCTAATTAGGAACTAAAGATAGTTGATTTGATATGGAATCTTTTTCCTTTGATTATTGGTTCTCCTTTGTATTTTTTTTGGCACAGTGCTTTTCTGTATGCTTCACTAATACTGGTGCTGAGTCCCATTGTGTATGCACATTTTATTTTATTTTATTTTCTCATTCATTGAATGGGGTAAGGAAGCATGCTTCTATGTTAATTACTTTAAATGTATATAGATGGTTTTCTTGTATAAAACTATTTGGTATACATTGTCATTTGCCATAAACTTTTGGTGAATGCTTGTAAAAATCAGTATGATGGGGGACCAAGACTGGCCAAAGATGACCACTGCATTGACTGCCTTATGGATATGGCACACACAGTGGTATGTGCTGATAGCTATAGGGATCGAAGGACATTGATGAGAGAGATTGCAGAAAATGTGCTTGCTGGGAAATGTCTAGATGGAAATTACTATGTATCCAAGCCATGGTATGACAACAGTATGTTTTTTCTTTTTTCTTTTTCTTTTTTTCCTTTGTCCTTTTTTGCACTGTAACAGTTTCTTTGACTTACCTTTCTGTCTTTATCTTTTGAAAGGCTTTCTTCTTCTAAGAAATAAAATATCATGAGTACTGTTATGATATTCAATCTTAAATGAATTGCCAATTTCTTTCATATGTTTATCAATTGTTTCAATTTCAAAATATTGCATCCAGAGGACATTAATTCATTGCATTTCTGCTGCATATCGTGATGCTAGTCAATTGTTACTTGTAGGTTGCAACAGTGGTTGAAAAGAAAAAACCTCGATAAGCCTAGCGAAGCTGATTCAGGACCAACAAGCTCAATTAGGTGTCAACATGGGCACCTGAGGCCTGAGCAAGCTCCCGGTGCTAAGCGATTGCTCATTCCAGAGAACCTCTGGCTCTTCTTATATGGAGATTCAATCACTGTAAAACCAGATGATCCTTTGGGTTGCCCAACTTTCCCATCTGACTGTGAAGATTGCCCTGAATGCAGTAATGAACTCTCTGAAGTTGCATGCTCTGAGGATTCTAAAAGGTCAAATAAATTCATAGATGTTAGAAGTGTCCTGCTAATATCTCATTACTGGTAATTGACTACCACTGTTCATTCTGCAGAGCAGTAAAGCTTAAACAGCGTCAAAATCATGAGAAGTTGGCTATTGGCAAGAGTATTCCACTATCTTTGAATTGCAAGTATTACTTGGTACCATCTTCTTGGCTTTCAAAATGGAGGAACTACATCACTGCTAGTGGCAAAAATACTACATCTGTTGAACCTGAAATTCTGGATGGTATCATTAACTCACTGAAATGTGAGAAGGTAACTTGCAGTTTTACATGCTTTTCTGTTTAATTGTATTTTAGAACCCCTAATTGACTTTTTCTGCCAAGAGCAAGTGTACCTTTTTATATTTTTCCTCTCATGTGATGTGGATAAGTTGCAGAGGATGCTAAAAATGCATATGATTCATTTTAATCTACCTAATGTTCCTTAATAATTTTGGCAATCACCCTGTAGTAATGATCTGAAATTTGTTGGCTGACACAATAATTATAAATTAAATCAACTTTTTTTCAAAATGTGGTATACTGTTGCTGTGAATCTTTTATCCTGAAACTGTTACCGCTATTATGCTCCCATTCTTAATGATCTTCAACTCTTTTCCTTTTTCGGTCATATGGGTGGTTGTAATGTTATTGTTTTCCTTTTGTTTTCACCAGCATCTACGTCTTGTAGAGAGGCTGCCAAAGGTGTTCTACAAACGTGGTTCATATTTCCAGAAGGGTTTTATTGTAAGTTTATGACTCTGTTATATCCATACTAGTTTCTTTTTTAAAATTCTGATCTCCAACTATGCTTCTTTATCTAGTTAATTTTTCCATATTTATTTCTTAAGCATGCTTTTCAAGTTAGTTATTGTATTACTTCTCTAACTTCACCTAATCCTTTTAAATATTTTTGGCTTTCCTTTTCCCCCTCCCCAATCTTCTTTGGATTCTAGACAGATAGGTTGACAATTATCACTGAGAATGACTGGAAATGCTTTTGTGAAGAATGGGGTGGTTTGGAGGAGAAAGGCATATCTGCTGTGATTGAAGAAAACAATCTGGCTGGATCCTGTGAGGAGATATCAACATCTGTTGACCAGCTTGCTCCTAATAATGAAGCAAATAATGAGAATGATTTAAGACAGCCTGTGATAAGGACATTCCCAGAGGTAATTGCTATAGTTAATTTTTTTTCAAGAACACTTCTAGTCTATATTTGAGTTTTTCTGGAATTCAGTTGTTTTTTATGTATTCTTCTATTAATTATATTGTATCTTATATCCTTTTCTCCCCTTTCATGGTGTCTGCATGAAGTGTTTACAAGGGCTAATTAGTTGTAGTTTTTCTTAAGAAAAAACAAATGGTGGATGGAGATAGCTTCTATTGATATGTAGTGCTGTTTGCTTTTTCCATTGTGAGGTGGATGAAACAGATGTGCAAGTCAAACTATACAGCTTTTAGTCACATGTAAGAAAGATGATAATTAGAGGAACAGAATGAAATTGTGTAAAGGAAGTCTTAGAATATCTCACTCTTGGTAAGTCTTATTGTATTTTTTGTTGGAAACTTTGAATGTGTATGGTGTTTCTTGTCATTTTCTTTCTTTCCTTCTTTTGCACTTTGATGTGTCATTTGAGATGCATAGCTTGATTTAGTGTAACTTATGCATTTCTTCTCAATTATGTGATGGTTAGACCATAGAGTAGGTTATTTACAAACAAGAATAGCTGCTACATTGGATGGAGTCATAGAACGGTTCAGTGTTAGCATTTAGATTTGAGTTGAGTTCCTTTTTAAGGAACCTTTTATTTTGTATTTCAGTTTGTCCCCCCTCCCATGCTTATCATTGTCATACCTGTTGTTTGATGATGGATGAATTATCTCAACTTTCTCTGGAGGTTACAAAGAAATAATTTGTTGGTATGCTTGCATTTTCTTATCTGTTACTCTTGTATGAGTTCCCATGGCTGCTAATGCAATGTGATTATTTTTCTAGATATGTGAGGAATGCATTGGAGAAAGAGAAAGCTGCGAGTTAATGCAGAAACTTAACTACTCTGATGGGGATATTTGTGTATATCTTGTACGTGGAAAAGAAGCTCCAAAATCAATTTTAGAAGCATCTGAGACTTCTGAGCCAGATCGACGAATCTCCAAGCGTTCTCGAAGGACAAATAATGGGAATTTAGTAAATTTTAAAGTTTCTGCCTCCACATCAGTATACCAATTAAAAATGATGATATGGGAGTCCCTTGGGGTAAGCAATGTTGAGTTCTTATATTTTCATTTGCATCTTTTCTGACATTTAGCATATTTTGGTTGCTTCTATCATCTTAAATTGAAAGATATATTTCAATTTTATATGAAAAGAAAAAGCCATTCACCCATCTTTTTGCATAGAATTTTCATTTTCCTGTGTCTTATACCTTCTGCTTATGTGGAATATTAACCAATATCTCTGCCCAACTATCATTATTCTCAATGGTTTCATTGCTCAGCACTGTATTGGAAGGGCCTTGCAAACTCTGTTACCTATAGAGTTGGTGTGGTATAAATCATTTAGAATAAATTGAACATTCAACCTGATGTCCTGTATTGTTAATTATCTTCTTCTTTGCTTTGGAAATTTAAAGGAATAAAAACACTATTTTTATCACGTTTAATGTAGTAAAATTACAAATAATTAGTAGATTTTGTGGTTTTTTCTAAAATTTTCAAGTGTTTTCTGGTCTTAATGCATGGAATGTTTAAAACTTTGCTTATCTGAACAAATCTTGGTTAAATTTAACAAAAGATAAAGTTATAATAACCTTCATCACCCAATGTGGTATTTGGGACAATTCCTTAATATCATTTCATCATAGATCTTACTTTGGTTGCTTGCTTCCTTGCTTCTTCTCCATCTTCCTCTTTTTTTTTTCGTTTTTCTTTTTTTTTGGAACTGAGATTTTGCATAACGGTGTTTACCTTAGGCATTTTCTGCTCAGCAGGCAACTGACCATGTATAAATTTGCAGGTTGTTAAAGAAAACCAGATACTTCACAAAGGTTCCCGAATAATTGATAAGGAATGTGCCACTCTTGCAGACATGAACATATTCCCTGGAGATAAACTTTGGGTGAAAGATTCAGAAATCCATGAAGATCGGGATATTGCTGGTATTTGCCCCTTTTTAGATGAATGTCTTGAACAATGTTTTTTTATTGTCAAGTAATTCCACTTCAACATTTTTAAGAAGCCACCATTACTAAAACTTTAATCTTCCACAGATGAGCTTTCAGAGCAGAAAATGAATGTTCAAAGCATTGAAGAAGGATTTCGGGGAACACTACTGACAGCAAATATATCATCGCAAGTTGTCTAGAGGGAAGCATGGTTCTGTTGATGTCTTCAATAACAAAAATTTTTGTAGATATTAATCCTGTCTGGTGAATTCTACAAGTACCTGTGGAGGTAGGTGTGAAGTATTTACAGTTATGATACTTTCAACTTCATCTTATTTTCTAGCAATGATCAATATCAATTCAAGTGTAGAACTGAATTGAATCTTGGACCTCCAGCCCTCAAATAGTTTTTCTATTGATCTCCTTGCATGGAATAATGTTTCCAGCATTTACTTTGGTTACTTTCTTAAGAATGAACTTCTTTTATTGGGCAGAACCTCCACACAATGTCCTAAAGGCTGGTTATGGATTGGCAACGTCTTGTACTTACAGCTGGGGATGAATTGCTTCATTTTGGGTACTCGCTTAAAGAAGCAAATGAAATCTCTGTTGCTGTGTCATAGAGTGCTAAGTTTTGGGGTGTCCTTGGCGTTTTCAGTTGGTGTTTATCTTAAAGTACTCGTTAGTAAAGTTATGAAAAAGCCCGGGTTTTCTGTTTTTAATGCTAATGCGGTTGTGTAATGTATATGTAGCAGTAGGTGTCTGTTGATAAATATTCCTCCTCCCCTGCTGTTTTTTACATTCCAATCTGCATGTGTGGCAATGTACCATGAACAAATATAAAAAATTATGCAGTACCCTAGAATTCAGATGAAATTACTGTGCCTTTTAACTTTTAATTTTGGCAAACAACTTACACAAGGCATATACTAAGCTTTTGGCCTTTGGAAGATAGAGATGGGCGTCTATTTTATTTTAGTTTAGAAGGGAAGGTAAACAAAAGCAGATCCCCTCCAGAACGAGAAATTCTTCAGACTCCCTATCTCCGTCTACTAATATAGAAATATATCAACAAATGTACTTCTCCCTTGCAATTTAAAATATTAATTTATTATAATTTAATGATTGTTTAATTAGAAA